TTTCATTTTGTTCAATGATGGCTTTCTTAAATTCAATTGTATTTCTCGCCTTCTTTACCACAGGCTTGGCACTAGGAGCTTTCTTTGGAGCCATGGTAGCTTATTTAGCACTTGCAAGCACTAAAATAAATGGAATATTATGAAATATTTCGCTGGAGCACGTGAGGGGACCTTCGCTCACTGGTAAACAATGCCAGACTTGCTGCCGCCCCAGCTCACGCCATGCGTACGCGTTCTGGATGAACTACGACTCGCTAGTCAACCTATGAAAAGCGAGTCCATGTTTATACGAAAATACCCCTATGATTGGCGAATTTTTAGATTGCCGGGAACTACAAAAAGCGGGGGACCACTGTGTATGCATCTACCATCCGACTTACGACCTGCTCGCCATACAACCACTCGACTTGCGACCATGTTTTTTATGCCAAATTTCTGGGAAATAAACAACTGTTTGTGTTGTACACAGTGTTTATCCTGAACCTTATGGTATGAAATACAGTACTAACAGCATAAAAAGTAAAGGAAAAAATGAAATACAAAAAACAATAAAATAAAATCATTACAAAAGTGTGATGTTGATATTCAGAAGTAAGGTTCGACTTACGTCCATTTTGACTTAGGACCAGTTGGTCGGAACCAAGCTTGGTCGTAAGTCAGATGGTACCTGTATACGTTTGGACCGTTTATGGGTTAATTGTACAAACTGACACTTCATTAAGGCCACAGGCTATCTCTTGTCTAATATCTCTATTTTCTTCATTAATTCTAAGACTTAAATGCTTATACCTATTCTTGCCACTTTCAGCAACACTCGTATGCCTACTGGGTGCTATGATTACTTGGCAGATACAGATATGAAAATTAAAAGATCAAAACAATTCACAAGCACAGCTAGCTTCTAAGACAATGGAACTAAACACGTATGAACGAATCCTGGGATGGTGGTAGCAGGGGATGGCGGTAGGTCTCCCCCGCTGACCCACAACAAGGAAGCAGTTTGAGCTATGGAATTTTTTTCTGCACTCGCAAATGGAACCGTGTTAAGTTAATTTTACGAAGTGTTGTGTAAAACTGTGCCGCAATTTTTCAATAGTGCAACAACCAAAATGTGGCAAATAAATCCATGTAATATAAGGGTCTACTGTATGTTCACTTTCAACTTCTCATTAGAAGCTCTCAAATGCACAGAGTCATCAGCAAAGAGTAAATGTGTTAATTCCCATTTTGTATTTGATTCCCATAATTCATTCCTACCCCTCTTCCCTACACCCTAGCATTTACTTCTTTTATAACCTCATGGTGACATTACACATCCCTGTCTAAGGCCTACTTTTACAGGGAAGTAATCTCCCTTGTCAGTTGTTATTTAGATATGATGCACCATCTTCATCTTGTTTTGTAATTACTAGTTTTTCTAATAATGATGACCATTTATGTTTACTTTAGTGTTCAGCATCATTGCATTTTTCCTTTCCACTCATGTTTGTGTATATAAAAGGGTACCAGTACTTTATATGATAATGAAAAAATTGCCTATACTGTATGTATGTATTGTAAAAAATTGCACAACTTCACTGCTGGGAGTCTGGAATGATACAGTTTATAAATTTATTAAATTTATGAACCATGTTATATCAAAACCCATTCCATTCAAAACCATACTATGCAAGGTATTACTGTATTGGGTAATCATGTTTATTCTTCAGGAACGTGGACACAAAGATGAGGTCGATAACAACATCTTTCTGGGTGACATACTAGCATTTGAAGGCAGGTTCTCCGAGGCTGCTAAATTATACCGCAAGAGTGCAAGAGACTCACTAGCCATGAACATGTACTCTGACCTCAGAATGTTTGACTTAGCACAGGTAAGTCGAGCCTATTACCTATTGTACTGATTATTTTCATATGTTTTGAAAGGACATAAAATAATGTATTATAATATAGGATAAATGGTCAGTTAACTAGAACCCACTTAACCCTTACACTTTGTTCATCCCCAAACTTTTTTAAATTTCCCCCATTTTTAGTTCAAAATTTTTAAAATTATATCCGGTGGAGAGAAAAAAATATAAATGTCTTAACAAGAACCACACAAAAAATATTGAGAAGAGATGAGTGAGTGAAAAGAGAGAGTGAGGGGGGGGGGTGGGGGTTGGATGGAGTAAATGAGAGAATGAGAGTGAGTGATTTGAGAGTGATGAGAGGAGTGAGTGAGGGGAAAAGGTGAGTGAGAGTGAGAGTGATGAGAGTGAGAGTGAGTAAAGTGAGAGTGAGTGAAAGGGAAAAGGGAGTGAGTGAGAGTGAATGAGAGTGATTTGTGTTTTGTGATGTGTGTGTGTGTGTGTGTTTTGGTGTGTGTTTTGTGTGTGTGTTTTGTGTGTTGTGTGTGTGTGTGTGTGGGAGAGAAAAGGGGAAAAGAGAGAGAGTGTTTTGGGTTTTGAAAAGTTGGGGGTGTTTTTGGTTGGGGGGGTTTTGTTTTGTATGTGTCTGTACTCTTTAATTTGGGGCTGCGGGGGTTTGTTTCACATTTCCTGGCCCTGCCCTGCGGGATACTACTAATCCAAAAACAGCCTTCCGCTCCATGAGCTTTATCCTATCCTTCAAAAGGGCTTTTTATAGATCCTGCCCCACTACGCCCTTCCCAGATTGTTTCATTTCCGACAACTCTTTGACTGAAAAAAACTTCCTAACATCCCTGTGACTCACTAACTTCAGTTTCCAGTTTTTTACCCCCTTTTTGGGTTTTTGTGCCCCATCCCTGGAACATCCTGTCTCTGTCCACCGGGGTCAATTTTTCCTCAGATTTTATTTTCTTTAAACATGCCCCCCCCTCCCCCGAACCCCCCCATGCCACCATTGTAATCGGGTCGATTTTCTTTTAACCTTTTCCTTTGTAGGACATCCCCCTTAAAGTGGGGTTAAAAAGGGGGTGCTGCATACTCCATTTTGGGGGGGCCCCCCTAAAATTTTACACAGTGGGGCAGAATCCTGAAGGTTTCCCTTGCTGAGATGTCAAAAATGCTTTTTCTTGGGTTTGCTAGTCGCTCATATCCCCAAAACAGTTTTTTTCCCTTTGATGGGGCCATCCCCAGAGGGTTTTGGTTTTATACCCCAACTCAAAGATCCTTTTCCTTGAGTGATTTTTTGACTTTTTGGGCCCCCCTTTAGACTGAAATTTTTCTTCGATCTTTTTTCGCCCTTCCCCGATTTTCCCATGATTTTTCCCTTTGGCAGATTTTGAACCCGGGACCCCATTTGCTGACCGGGGCCTGTAGTCTTTTTCAATCCCTTTTAGTCCGCCTGGTCCCCCCCCCAACAAAAATTTTCCCCTTCCTTTTAACGGGACATTTTTCGGGCCATTTCTGAGTCTTTTCCCTTTCCATCATGTCATTCACATACACAAAAAAACTTCCCCAGCCCAAGGACTCCCCCTGGGAACCCTGCTCTTCACGGGCACACACTCCAAAACCTAAACGCAACCATACTACTGCTAGCTCCCTTTCCGGGTAAGTATTCCTGATCCATTGCAGTGGAACTGGTCAAAAACCTTCTTACAGTCAAAAAAATGCAATCTACCCACCCCTCCCCTCTCCTCTCTTTTTGTCTTTACTCTTTTCACCTTGTAATTAAAATCCCGTAGGTTTGTGGGCACAGGATTTCCCGCCCTGAAAACCATGCTGATTTTCCCATGTTTTTCCCCATTTTCCTTTTTAGGGGCTCCACCCCTCTTTTTATTATCTTCCCCCATGACTTTGCATACAAAAGCATGTCAAGGGTACTTTGGGCCCGTATTTTAAATGCTGCTTGGGCGTCCCCTTTTTTTAAAAAAATTGGGAAATACATTTCCTGTCTCCCATACCTCGGGAGCTGCCCTGTTTTTGATAGATGTGTTGAAGAATTTTGTTAAATGGAACCCCAGAGTGCCTCTGCTCCCTATTTTAACCCGGACCCAGGGGAGATGTTATCCGGCCCCCCCTCGCCCTTTTAGTTTTATTTTCTTAGGGGAGCCCCCTCACCTCCCTTCCCTTTTTTTTTATGTATTGGGGTCAAGCACTTTTGGGGTTTTACCTCCCCTTTATGTTTTAAGAGTTTCCCCTTCCCGCCTCCACGGGGAATGTTATTTTTCCCTTTGAAAAGTTTTGGTCGTAAAATATATGTCTTATTTGCCACCGTTTTTGAAAGGATGTAACTCTAAATTTTTAGCCGGCCTTTTAAAACAACAGGAGAAAGCTGGTTGGGGCCCCATGTGAGAGAATGGGGCTGTGTGGTCAGGGGTGACCAAATTTAAAAAAAATCCTGCACATGGGAGTGCATAATGAGAAAAAAAAAACCTCCGACCGTTTTTTTTTTTTTTTTTAAAATACCGACTTTGTGGCTATTTTTTTATGGTAAATTTTTGGGGGTATTCCCCGATTTCCCGGGCCCCATTTGATAGAAGGAAAACACATTATAGAAAACAGGTGAAAATCGGGGCCATGGGGGTTCTTCCGTGAATTTGCACAAGATGTCCTCTCTTTTAGCAACCGTACCAGCACTAAACGAGGAGCTTAGGTTGCTAAGCTTGAGATACTTTACTGACGGAAAAAACAAGAGGGTTCGAAGTAATCCTCCTGTTGTGGGGTCCTCAGGTCAAGAGAAGAACCTGGTTCCCGTGGCCTGCCCCCCCCTGGAACGAACTGAAAAAAACAAGAAGACTGTTTTAGTGGGAGAAAAAAACGAAGAGCCAGAAAATCTGGGTTTTGGAGACTTCCAACCCATTTTCGGGGTTACCAGACAAATGTGTGTTGTTCAACGGGGAAAAGTCGCATGAGTACCAGGGAATCAATTTACAGAGGAGGGTTTATCGACATCCTTTTAAAAAACCCCCAAAAAAGACCATCGAAAAAGGGCACTACGAAAATCCCCCAATGGGAAAATAAGAAACCCTTGTTTTAGTTGGAACATTTAAGAAAGAGGGGAGAGGGGATGTTTTTTTCCCATGGGTGGGATGGGGGAAAATTGGGTTTCCCTCTGGATGGGCACATGAAAGGTAAAGGGGGTAATCCCATTAATCTGCCTCAGTGGGGGAAGGGGAAAAATGTTGGCAGACAAAGGAGTGAAGACCTGATTAGCAGGATAGGACAGGGAATAGAGATAATTAGAAAAAAGGGGGGAACCCCGTGATTGTGGTTTTTGCCAGGGGAAAAGTTGGAAAAGAATTTGGGTTTTCCAGGGCAATTGGTGTCAACTGCGGCTGACAAACCCTGTAAGGAAAAAGCAGTAGCAATTCATAGACCCAAAGGGACCCCTTTTTATGGCAGAAATGACCCTGTTAAGGGGATGGAGTTTACTTATAGGTTTGGGGGGGGAGCCCCTGGCCAATGCAGTGGAGGGGGCTGGTTTTGGTCTTTTAAAATAGAAATGAAAGTGGTATGGGTATGGGTAGTGTAGTTTTTTAAACCCCTTTTACTGTCCGGGTCATATATAAAATGTTTTTACGGGGGTACCGGTTTGATGTTAAAACTCAAAATTCTAGCAGCTTCAAATCAAAAGAAAAAGCGGTAGGCCCACAAAGTGGAGAATTGGGGCTGGTGGTCAATGTGACCATATAAAAAAAAAAATCCTGGAGCCAAAGCAGTGCATAATGAGAAAAAAAAAAAAATCCCCACCATTTTTTTTAAATTTAAAAAGCCGACTTTGTGGTTTTATTTTCGTATAGTATTTCTGGTTGTATTCTCGTTTTTTTGGGGTTTTTCCAAAAATGATAGAATGGAAAACATATTTAGAAATAGATGGATTTTGATTGATTTTTCTATAAAAAGAACCTGGGAAAAGGAGCTCAAAGTAGGGGAAATTTTTATTTTTTTCCAAGTTCAAAAAATAACAAATGATGTCATTGGGCCCAAAAAATTTTCCAACTAGCCTTCCAATAACAGTCCCAAGATGAGTTGATTTTATTTATAAAAATTATTACAGTATTGCAGTAAATCTACTTAAAATAAATCTTCCATTTTTGTTTGAAAAAAAAAATTCAAAATAAAAAGCAAGAGTAATATCATAGGGGCCTGGGGGACTGACGATGAACAAAAAAATGTTATTTTTTTTGAGCCAGGGAAAAGTCTGCATTGTTTATTTTGGACCTTATTTTGGGGAAAATTGGGCAAATTTTTTTTTGTTTTCGGAAATTGGGGCCCAAAATTTCAAAATTTTCTGCCTTTTTTATTTTGGGGAGGTTTAAAATTTTGGGAAAAGGGCAGTTTCCCGTACTCAATCGATAGAAAAAAAAGGAGTTTTTAAAGAAATAGCTTTTGAGTTTTTGGGCGACTGAAACAATGGAATTTACCAAAAAAAGACAGATTTACGGGAGCAATTTGACAGGAAATTTAGAGTCAGGTGACTTTCTTGATACGATCCAGGATTGTTTTTTAAAACAGTTTGTGACAGAGCCAACTAGGGGAAATAACCTCCTTGACTTGGTTCTTGCCAGTAGGGAAACACTAATTAATAATCTTGAGGTTAATGATGAGCTTGGGGAAAGTGATCACAAATCACTCAGTTTTTAATATATCATGGAATTCCCCTAATAATGGCAATCAAGTCTCCGTCCCTAACTTTCGCTTGCTGATTTCATAGGACTGAAAAATTACTTAGGTGTGGCTGTAACTGGAATGACCTGACTAAGTGTCAGGTAGTGTGATGGTTGCCGATATGATGCTTTCCAGGGCATAGTTCTAGCTGCTCAGTCAAATTATGTTCAAAAGGGAAATCAGATCAAACAAAAATGATCCTAAATGGATGAACAATAGATTAAAATATCTGATTGGTCAAAAGAGAGATATATAAGGCAAATCAAAAGAGGAGAGGGGCAATTGAGAAATCGATATAT